CCATCTACATCATCTTTATTAACAAAATGGTTCAGCTTTTCTTAAAGTCTGCTTCCTGGAGCATTCATTTTTGTGACTAAACAGCTCCTGAAATATTGCAAGCCCAGTAATGTTATTAACACTGTGTGACACACAAAAAAGAGGAATTAATTTGACATAATCGTGGCTTAAAGATAATAAAGACAACCTCATGTGGAATGCTAAACTGCATATCTAAAAAGCAAAGTGTTAAATGAGAATAAGATGAGAGTAGAATTCAGTATTTTGTTCTATTGTAGCTTTTTAGTATAAACTTCACCTTCACTTAATCTGAAGGACAGACTTGCTTTGAAATATTTAAATTATAACTTCTTAAAAGGGGATTTCAAGGCCTGTTAAATTTGAGTTTCTGCTTTTTAAACTGAGAATGACCTTGATCATTATGTTGTTTTAGAAGTACATCTATCATATGCTTAGAAAAGTCAGTTTTCCTTTTTTTTTTACTGCAGCTTAAACAAACACATTAAAAAACCCCAATTGCTCTCTGTGCTTTTTTCAATGTGGAAAGTGTAACAATTCTTTCACATACTTGTTCAAGAACTGTCTGAAGAGGAAAAGAAGGGCATTAGCAAGTGAAACACTGGAGGCAAAAAGAGAAATGTGACTGTATGTCTGAAAAGGACTGTTGCTGTTTTGCATCTTGAGGCAACTTGTCATTTGCTTCTGTGTCCTCCAATAAAACAAACGGCCTCCTTCTGAAGACACAAAAACAACTTTCTCATAGGTGATTTCCATGTCTATACATACTTAACAAAATTAATTTTAAAGAAAAGTTTGTAATCATTTGCTGTCTATAGGCAGTCACAAAGCATGTAAGAAGTAAAAAAAATGCATCCTGCTCATGGATATAGAGCTGGCACATATGGCATGTATATCTCGAGAACATGTCTGTACACACCATGCCACAAAAGCCACAGTGACCACAATGTTTATCTATTTCCAAAAGGTAGGCAACAAAATGCCTTCTCCAATTCAAGCTTCAAGCAAGCAAATTCCTATTTACCTTCATATTGGATTCAAAGAGAGAAAAGTAAAGCTCTCATGCTGTAAAATCTGATTTTGAAGGAAAAGTTCTGAGGCAACACAGGGATGGCAGTAAAACCAAAAAGCCAACAGTATGAAGAGATGTTGTGATATTCCCTGCAGTTGTAGCTTAGACTCCAGCTCTAACCATCCACAGTGATCCTAGTACTCTACAGTATTTACTACCAGTAAAGTAGTAAGTTTCTCACTGCCATCACAACCATGATACCTTGGTATATTAAAGAAGTTACAACATTTGGGGAAATATGGAGCAGGATGTTCCTTAAATCTGACCCTGGAGCCAGCAGAAAGTAACTGAAAGCCTTCCTTTGGCCAAGGTTTAGGGAAGAAGAGGAATGAGTTTGTCATCAACAGTGTCTCCCACCACAGGTGGGTGTATGCTTGTCACAGCACTGCAGTTCTGCTATCCTTAAAACTTAATTACCCATGTGATTTTACTAGGAGGATTAGAATGGCAGAGCAGATTAGAGTACAAAAAGGGGATAAATTCAGGCTGGTGAAAAAGAGATGGAAAACAGGGAGCAATCCCATATGGTTAAACAGACTGAAAGCCAGTGATGGGAAGGCAAGAGGAATCTTTTTTCTAAATCTACAATTCCCTTTCTCCCCACTTAAAACAAATGAACCCTTTGTCCTTTTCATACAGGAATCACCCTCCACTTGTATCTACACTGGGAAAGCAAAAAGCAGCTGGGAGCCATGGAAGGGGGGAGATCTGGCTTCTCCATCTCATGTAACACTTCACCCCTACTGCAGCACAAAAAAATTCCAAGAAAGTTTTAGTGAAGAACAGACTAATCACTTGTTCCATGCAGTGTAGGAAAAAAAAAAAAGTAGTGAAGCATGGAACTACAGTTGTCAATGAACTGATTGCTGATTGACATGTCTGGGTGGACAGAATCTCTGCTCAGAAAGGGCCAAAGAGAGACTGAACCAGGAGCACCATCTTCTGCTTCTGAGAGGCTCAGCTGGCCTTTTACAAACACACATCTACACACTGGTCTTTCACAAGCACATATATCAAAGATGAGAGGCAGCCTTAACCTGCAGCAGGGATCTTCCCCAAGAGCAGAAGCAGAGAACAATCCAATCTATATTATTAAATGGGAACTGTTAAATCTTGCTATCCTCTTCCAGTATTCGCATCAGTACTCAGATCACTGAAGTCATCACATCAGAGCACTGAGGTGACAGTGCCTTGGTATTCCAGACAGTACTATGTACAGATGAACAAAAGGCCTGGGGGAAAAACCCCTCAAGCAGTTGGAACACAATTAAAATACCATCCACTCTGTCTTTAAAGGCAGTTCTCTTCCTCCAGCCAACTCATATCAGTGCTGCTACATACTCCACTCACCCTCTCCAGTCCCAAAGGAAATTCCCTTTGTCCCTGTTTTTTTTTTTAGAACCTCTATTCAATGCCCAAGCTACTGCTAGTATTCTCTTAATCTACAGCTTCTGGTACCATTTTGTGTGTGTGTTCACCAAGTTCATGATGCATCTTCCCCCCCCAGCTTCCTAAGAAAATTTTGCCTACCAATTTAATCCAATCCCCTCCAAACAAAAAACCCAACACCTCTCCCCCCACACACATTCCACTCTACCTATAAGGCAAGAACACATGCTATTATTGATTAAACTAAACTTGAAGGAGGAATACACACAGATTATCTGCCTGTGCTCAGAAACATGCTGGAATTATGTCTAGATCTGCAAACTTGGTTTACAGGATTGAGATGGACAGGGTGCTCTACCACTTGATTGCTACAAGTTTTAGCCTGAAGCTAAAGCATTATATTTGCATTACATATGCCTCAAGAGTATGTAAGTAGCAATGCATTTTATTTAACTTTTTGCCTTAAGCTAAGTGAATTGAATCTCAAAGCAGTGAAACAGTACCCACTTAATACAAGAATATATTGTGTTTATCTGACATAATGCTCCCCTGGTCTTTCAGTAAGCAAAAGACAGAGGAACCTCTGCCGTGTTCTCTTCCGTAAGTAAGAGCAACTTGATTGGCAGAAAACATCTTCAAATTACTTTTTAATTTCTATTTAAGAGATTTTTTTACCTAGACTTTTTCCCACAGCAAGCCTTTGCTAAGCTCTGTTAAGTACTCTGAATGACATTTATAAAGCAAGGCTGGCCAAGAGACAAGAACCCAATTTTGTGACAAAGTGAAGCACTCAGACATTTGTCTTCCTTCTACATTAAAAAGAAAGAAATGCTTTTGCACATAAATAAAAAGCGGTGAAACACTTATCTGGGAGAATGGAGTTTGAGTACCTATTCCAAATCAAATCAACTCCAATGTTAGCATCCCATATGGATGGGCAAATGCTCTACATATTGAGCAAACAGCTACTCAGAATTGTCTGAAGGTCAAGAAAAGCCTCAAACAAAGCTAAAAATTCTTCTCTGAAACATGTCCCAAGTATATGCTTTGAGAAACTTCCAAGAAGCAGACACTATTCAGTAAATGTCAAGAGGTAAGGCACACAAAACCCTTCCTAAATCCAATCCACCTTGGTTCATTGCATTCAAAGAGCAGGGTAACATTCAGTTCTGAAGGTTATCAAATTTGAACTTTGGAAAACAGGTATCAATTCTGAAGCCAGAAGTGAGACAAAAGAAATCACTGCCCAGCCTGCACTGGATAATCATGATCTCAGTACATAAAGAAACTGCAATTATGTACAGACTTGTAGTCATAGTCTACATCTAAAAAACCCCTCTTTAAAATCTCACAAATGTTAAAAAGCCCTTGTGTCTCTCTACTGTACATGCATAGTAATATTAGTGGGGAAAAAGCCACTGTACATTCCCAGCTTCACTGCAAAATCTAGGTTCCTATTCCTCAGGAGAACAGAATATATCCTTCCTTCCTCCTCTTTAATTTTCAATCATCATTTAATACCTAACAGCTGCAGACTTCACTCATCCTATTAAAAACACCTGTTCTAACAGCCTTTCTATTTTACCAAGCTCATCCAATTGACACTGTAGGAAAATAACACGTCCAATACAAAGAGAACAGGCAGAATAACAAATGGTCCTGAAAACCCTACATAATTAGGAAAGCACAGAAAAGTAGCAAACTTAAAACAGCATCCAATGGTTAGCAAAGAATGAAGTGGCTTTCATGGTGCTATCAATATTTGCAATTCATGGCATTTCTATGGTGACAGAAGATTTGGCTATCTCTGAATTCCCAAGAGACAATGGCACACAAACAAGGCACATTTAGTACAACATTCTGAGTACATCTCTCATGGAATTTGAAACAGAAAGGCTGACGTTGGAAGACACCCCTGAAATGCTCATATCCAACTCCCTCACTCAAGAAGGGGCATCTTGAGCCAGGTGCCCAGGAGCATACCCAGATGGCTTTTGAGCATCTCCAGGTCACTGCAAACTTGTATTCAGGAAGTACAAGCACAGACAGTACATAGATTCTCCATTATTTTTCTCAATTGTTATTTACAATTTGATCATGACAATAAAGCTGCACTAAGGGAAACAATTAAGGACATACAAGTTGTTCTTTAAACAATTTCTATTATTCAGAAATTATGTAATTTGAAACAACTGCTTGCTGGCTTTGATTCCAGGTAAATTTATTTTGAATTTAGAAGGTAAACAGGACCTACTTTTCTGTAAAAATTTCTAGTCACAACAAATTTGCTATCTTCCATGACTGTGACTACAGTTCAACTTATCACAGAGGTGAAAGGACTCCAAAGTGGTGTTTTGTGTCTACATCAAGAATAGTAATCTCATCCTCTTCACTGAATGCACATTTTGCTCCTATACATGCCAGCTTTTCTTTTGAAGCAGTAAGTTCACATCCTTACTTACATGCTTTAAGTGATTCCCCTATCAAAAAACAATACTAAAAATAAAATAAAGCAGCTTCCTTATAGAAAAAGTTGTATTTACAGTTTTATTTAGCAGAGTTAAGGAGCAAACAATTTTAACACTGTTGTGAAAAGTGTTTTTACCCAAAATTGCCAAGATCTAATAAGTTATTGAACAGAAACACCAGGTGTAAGGCAATAATCCTGACCAGGCATTAGAGATCACCCTATCCCAAAGAGGAGAGCTGATAAAGGTGGTAGAAAATTTGGACTGATGGACGCAATTCCCAGAAATTAAGTCAAATGATAAAAATAGGGTTCCATTCTTGAGTATATCTTTAAGATCTGCAGATGAAGGAATTTCTAAAGCACGCAAAATGTACAGACAATTCCTGTTTTCAAGGGAACATTCAGTGCTTTGAATCCAAGAATGCTATGTCCATACATAGTGGTCAGTACATGACTATGGCAACACATAGATGGTAAAGATCAGAAATAGGATTAGAATTTTTTCCATTCCACATCATCAGGAGGATTTACTTCTACCTTCCTTTTACCAACATCAGACCAGTTGGTGCTCAGAACTGTGCCACCAGACTCCATCTGCAATATGAGAGAGATCTTGTTTAGTTTACTGAGAATTCTAGAAATATAAAAGCCACAGTTCCTACAGCAAACTTCAAATAATCAGAGTAATGATTACACAAAAATTGTGTACCTATGAAATAAAGTTCAACAGAGCCATCATTCCATCATCTCCAGCCCAGCAGTATTTTTATCTCTACTGGATACAGTGAGATGCTGCTTCATTAACAAGAAGCTTTTAAAGAGTCAGTAACGTTCTTGTCTATGATGGCTACAAATTAAACTAGATTCTAAACTAGATTCCAGCAATCAAGAGAAATTTGATCCTTTCACCCCCTGGCAAGTCTTTAAGCTCTACATGAGCCAAACTTCACTTCTTTTGATAACACTGATTGGAATGAAGAGACCAGTGACAAAGCACAACCTTGGACTTAAAGAGTCACATTCATCAGAGTACAGCACTGTAGCTTTACATGAGTGTAGTTCTACTAGTATCTCCAACAAAACCATGGCCAAAATTTATTCATTTACAGACCCAAAATTTTGGTAACAGAGGCTTCTCCCAACATACGCAAAGTTTAGCAAATCATATCAGTGTGCAAAAGTCACATGTTTCTTCAGAGAAAAGAATGAAGACTTACAAATGATTTGTTCATGGCACGTTTTACTTCATCTGTACCATCTGAATAGATTTGCTGGAAGAGTTTATTTAAAGCAGCATCTCCTTCTAACTTCTCATTTTTCTCCTCTTCTTTGATTTCAACTACCAGTTTGTCCCAGTTCCTTGTATAGTGAGAGGATGATGGGTATAAGTGCTGGGTATCTGAAAACAGGAGTGTTAGTTAACTAAGCATTTTCTCATGACTTTGAAAGCATCAAAGAACACAGACTCATGTACCCCATGAATCAGAGATGATAATGGGACATGAAAATGCAAATGGACTCCTCTGAACTGATATAAGCATTGCAGAAACAAAAATAAAGGAAACTAAGAAATGCAGAAGTTTATTTTTAGGTAAACAGAGTTATGTAATTTTGTTATCCAACACACAAAAAAAGCTGGGCAACAGCAACATAGATAATTGATATCAAAAAGAGATACTGGCTGACAGAAAAACCAAAACAGCAGCCTAGAGCCATAGAATAAGTTGAGCTAAATTAAAAAAGAAAGTCTGAAATCAATACATGAGGAAATTCAAATTCTGTGAAAGACAGAATATTTATCTGTATTGAAAAACTCCAGTGTATTAGTCTCCAAGTGAAATCCAATACTTAGGAAAACAATAATTACTTAGGCAACAGATCATGTAACATAACAACTGCTGTCCTGAGTCTGGCCAGGACAGAGTTAATTTTTTTGCAGGACTGGTGAGGGGAGGGGCCTGAAGCTCTCTGGGCATGGCCAGGAGGATACTCTACACCAGGGCAGATCATTGCTGGGGTGGGAGTAAGGGACTCTGTCATCCCAGAAGAAGAGCAGGGCTTCCAGTCAAGAAAAAGGCTGGGGAGAGAGAAGCCATTGGGGGTCCACTGGTGCATTCTGCATGTAAATCACTCTCTCTTTTGCAGCCTTTTGTTATTAATGTTGTTGCTGTTACTCTTTGTTTTCTAATTTAATTGCTGTTTCAAGTAAACTGTTTTTTATCTCAACCCTTCACCTGTTGTGCCTCCACTTCTCAACTCTATCCCACCACAGTGAGAAAGGGGAGGGAAAAGGAGAGTGAGACCTCGACAGTGTCCTTTGGGAGAATTCCAGTGGGGCACTGAATTGGGAGGTACCATTCCTAAACCACAACACACGCTTAACATACAGAACTGCAAAATGGGGAACCAAGCAGATAAGCAGAATGAATGACAAGCATATATACACCCATAACAATTCAACAGATTAACAGAAGCTATGACTAAATTTCCTACCTATTTTTCACTAGTGGCTTGCAGACTATCAATTCTTGACAGTGAAACCAAGAATATTAGGCTTTTCATTGCAAATATGAAGCTGTGATTTTATAAACAATATTTAAGGCAAAACTATTATTAATAACTGTAACTCACTCAATACAAATAAACAATTGAACACTAAACAGTTCAGAGAACAAACCTGGTGTAAATTGTTTTAACTTAAGAGAATCTCCCTGGCCCTCCAGCTTCTCCCATCTTACAGCCTCTGGCTTCTTCATCTTTATCTCAACCTACAAAACACAAGACAGAACAAATTAATCCAGATACAAACAATCTGTCAAGCAGCTCCAAAGTAGTTGGATCCTGTAGCCATAAGAAAATACATACATTTGGTTTTAGAAGCACAGCCTCTATGAAACCTACCTGTATCAGAGCCAAATTTACCTGCCTTACAAGATAAAGCTACTGGAGTTCAAGTCACACATCAAACAACCTCCAATGTGCCTGTGAAGCTTTTTTATCATACTTCTACCCTTTTGTTTAGGACTACTTAACTTTCTTTTGCTTACTATTCACTTGATTATTTTTGTAAATTATGGCATTCCAAAGGTAATGATCAGTCCCAATATCTCTACACTGCCAGGCTCCAAAGTATTGCCTTTCAAGCATCCTTTTCTTGGCAGTCAGCTCTAATAAGCAGCAGTTTTGAAAGACTAGGAAATCCAACTTCATCTAAGTTTATATTTCATTTACTAAAAAATTACATGTTTGATGTGTACTACACAAACCAGAGAAACACCCTGGGACTATGCAGATCTTCCCACTGGAGAAATTCAGAAACTGTATTCATTTGGTTCAATGAACAAACACTGCTATGGAGAAAATTGTCAAGTATTCATTGACAAAACTGGCAATTAAAAATGGATGTGGTTGTAATTACCACAGGAGAAACAAAATTAAGTGAAGTATGTGATGCCCTATTCACAACTTCACATAATCCCTTTAGACAACCACACTGAAATGTTTCTTTTCATAATTAACCTTCTCCTTTGGTTACAGGGTTACAAATCTGCAAAACAAGGACTGTCTAACGTCACTCCTATTCACGTAAGGAGATGTCACAAAGTTCATATGATGCTGTTAATTATCTGAAATCAGTGCTTGCTAAACTTCAGTGCTTCCTTTTTCATGAACAGCTCAGCAAAAGCAAGTTCTTAGTTCCATCTAAAGCCACTACAACCTGGGGATCCCTGCAGACCCAGGAACAAAGGCACCACTGTAAAAGCTAACCTTAGATTCGAACAGTAAGCTCATTGCACAGCATTATGTTGATCTGAAATTTGAACTTTACTTAATCCATTCTTTGAATCAATCACTGGTATGCAACAGACTGAGGTATCTTAGCAAAATATGAAAAATTAGTTCACTAAAGTTTCAATGCTTCCATGTTTGCAATCACAATGTTCAGCTATAAATGTTTCTTTTTATTTTTTTATCCCGCAGGAAGCTACAAATTCCCAAAATAAGTACTTATTTTCCACCACTAGCATGTACAGAGAACAATAAAAAGTTTAAGGTACGAGGCATGAAATGTCCTTCAAGGCAGGCAAGAGCTTCCGTAAACTTATAAGTCCAACATTGACATGTATTTGATTTCCCACTCCCTGCATCTGTTGGATTTTTCAATATTTTCAGCCACTTCACAAGTCACAAATTAGGCATCAGAATATCCACTTTTAAAGTAACATCACAGAAAGAAAAATAAGCAAATAAAATCAAAATGCTGTTAGTCTGGATGACCAACCTACCATCCCTAAAAAAGGCCTGTATTCCAGGTTAATATTACAATCTGTACGGATGCAGAGATTTCTGTTAAACTGTGCAGAAGAATTACTCTTCAGTAAACCAAAAGCAGTCAGTAAAGCTACCTCCACTGGACTGTGGGAATTCAGGGCTGTTTCAAAAACATTTTGAAAACTGCAACCTTAAAGTTCATTTCTTAGCACCTACACTCATAAATCTAATGCTCTGTTATTAGCTTAAGGAAGCAAAAAATATTTGAGTATCTACATATAAGACAATCAAGTAGTTCCACAAGTGGTAGAACTAGCAGGTTTTGTTTCCCCAGTGGATTTGGATCTCCTGAGCCAAACATTTAATTAGCTACTTACAAAGGAACTAATTAGTTACAAGTGAAATATCAGTATTAATTTAAAATCACTCTGTGCTCTGTTTCTTATATAAACTCATCTCAACCTGAGGAGACTTATAGGAGACTACTGAGTTGTGATTTTCAGTTGAGGCTCTAATGTTACAATTTTATAGTCTACTTATTAATGCATCTCCCAACATGTTTTAGTGGGGGGGGTGGGGGGAAGCAGATGCTTGCTTCTGAAACTGCTCTCCCCTATATCTCTTCAATTTCTCTGTTTTTTCTTTCACTAACTCCTCTTTCCCTTACACTTCAGGCTTTCCACCAATACCTTCCAGTATCTCAAACACAGATTATTTCATCCACACCAGAAATTACTTCTAATGCAATATAATACTTGATGTGAGCTACTAAATATGGAGTTTTTTCTTCTTAGAATACAATCCTCAACAAGTCCTTATAAAGACTACTGGGTAATAGTCCTTTGACTATTAATAACAGTACTCTGCCCATGCATATAAAGAAGAAAATAAGGAAGAACTTTAGTTTTGCTGTTCCAGTAATCCCCCTTCTCCTTTTCTAATCTGCTAGCCCCTACATTTTCCTCTCTAAAACTGTCCCTAAACCAGTGCTGCACAATAAACATCCTTAAGGAGAAGACAATGACACAAACTAATTCCCAGTGTAAAATGCAGATTTCTTAACTCTAAATCCTTTCAACTCTACCAAGCTGGAAGTGCACACAGCTGAAGAACTGAGACAGAATGTATTTCTGACATGATTAAACTTCTACTCTGTCTACTACATCCACTTCAATTGAAGCTACTCATTAGGCGAAGTGGCAGGCAGGAGCAAAGCTAGGGAAATCATTAACTTCATACCATTATACAAGCACATTTTCCGAAAATATAAAGCTATAAAGTTCTGCTTGTGAAGGCGCATGTTTCTTCAACTTGAGAGCTCTATTTGATCTAAGAAGGAACAACTTCCTGAGTTCCAATTACATGCACAAATGGCAACAAATGCATTTTAATGAAGGTTTTAATACAGATACTGATAGCTATCACACAGAAAAGTAACACATCAGCACAGACATTTGTGTCATATCTAGCAAAAAAGTACTGTTAGCTTTTTCCTCTCCTTTGAAAAAAATTCACTTGGGCAAGAGAAATACATCAACGCTTGCCAACTACTTTGATTCAACATTTATATTTTGTAAAACGTATGCCTGTGTGCCTTGTGCCAACTTCAGTATATAAGACAGGAAAATTGAACTGCAAATTAAGTGCTAAGGACAAGCATAATTCCTCAGCTTCTCCTTGTAGCTCAAGCCGTGCAGCCACCTGACCATCTTGGCAGCCCTCTGCTAGGCCTCGCTTCACTACATCAGTGCCTTTCTCGCACTGGTAAGTCTATAAAGCGACATGGCACTCCAGATCTGTAAAATATTCCAATGCAGATATAATACACTTTCTCTTTAAAGTCCCTTGTGGTTTGGATTCAAAGAGAGCAAAGCAAAAATTAAAAGACACATGGAATTTTGAGAGTAATTCATGCACTACTTGTTTGAAATACCATCTTGAGAGAAACCTACCCCTCTGAGAAGGTCAAAAGAGGGATTTATTGTCTAGAAGAAGCACCATCCACAGTGAAAGGACACTGGTAAATTTCTACTCAGTTTCCTGGTCATAAAATAATCATTTTTTTAAAGCCTGCCAGAGATTTGGACATGTTTGTTTGGGGTTTAATCCAAATGCTAGCTATCAGAAAAGATATCACAGTTACTCTCAAAACCTATTCTGAACCATTTAATTGATAGCATAAAAATAAACCACCACCACCTTATTTTACAATGACTGGAATAAAAGAGCATTTAATCCAGTTTTAAGAAATAATTCCTCCCCTTTGGTAAAGATCATAACTAGTTCTCCAACATTTATTTTCTAGGTAGATACTTACTGCTAAAAAGTTGAAACCTCCAATGCTTGATTTCACTTGAGCTTACATTCTGGGACAGGCAGTGTCAGCCTGAGATACATTAAAAGGGGAAGAATTTTTATCTTCCACCCTAAAAGGAGATTCTGGTGTACAGTGACAAACTGCAAGGGGTTTTGGGTTTTTTAACTAATTTTTACTGTGTTTTATACTTTACAGTCCATAGTAAGGGCAAGATCATTTATCACTGGCAAATTTCTGTCAAGCTCTGGTCAGAACTGGCAAAGCTTAAACAACAATCCAGCCATTAATCTTAAGACATACCAAAAATACCCTTTTTAGTTCTGGTGTTCTGCTGTATCATACACCTGAAAACAGGAATTGAGTGTTTCTAATCAACTACTTTGTTATTTACTGAACTACTGACTGCCTTCTCCGAGTCATAAATTGCAAGTATTTAGAGTTGTCCTTCTGTGATCATCTCATGAATTTCACAGGATAAAATAGAACAGTCTTCTAAAAATGTAAGAACTACTCAAATGTGCCTCTTAAAAGCACATATGCCTACAGTTTTGTTGTCCTAATTATTCCAAGACCTTTTATATATTGCTTGTAGTCTAAATTCCAAGATTTTTGATCCATAACTTTAAACAAAATATATTAACATGAAAATAATTCTACAGCATTATCACATACAAATGATAATTAAGGAATTTATTCTGTAGGAAGTATACTGCAACAAAGAAGGGGTTTATCTGGTTTCTTTGCCAGCTATGTACTATCAGGAACTGGGGGAAAAAGGTTCAAGTTACCGTTTAGTGATATTACCTAGCCAGCACAAAATTTTTGAATTTTAGAGGGTAAGCTAGCAACAGAGATCATGTTGGTATTCTAAAGCTATTTGTCACTTTACTCTCCATGTAAATCATCATTACTCCAATGGTTCTCAAGACAGATAAACCCCCTTATGCATTGTTATCTTTTATGCATCTATATAAAGCATGGGCGCTGACTTATATGCGTGTATAAAATAATAGTTCTTAGAGTATTACCAAGTTTAAATCTGTCTCAAATCCATCTTCATTCATACAGAAGGAAAAGAATAAAATCAAACTTACTGTTAAATAAGTAAATATTGCACCAATTACAGTGAAGGTTTCTATGTGGTCTATCCAAGAAACTGCTCCAACTAACCCTGCCTAAAAGATGCCAGAAATTTCAGAAAATTATCCAGTCATCTTAAATATTAGTTTATAATATACAGAAAATACTCAAGAATATACATGGGAGATATCAATCTACATGAAACTCTTACAGTGAAAACAAGCACTCAAGAGCAGCCAAGTCTGCATTCAAGTCCCTACAAGCAATTTAATGCAAGTGCCTAAACAGGAAAGTATCTTTTAAGGACTAGACTGCAATGGTAAGACCCAACTTCAGTTAAAATAGCTATGTTCCTCTGTTTATCTATTTGTGTACATTTGCCTCTGAATAAAGACTCTGACAGTCCAAGAGTGTGTGAAACAGTTCCACTCTTTGCCTTTTCCCTTATATTCAGCAACAGGCATCAGTTCCAGTTAGCTTCACAGGTTATTTCAGCATTTGCAAATCAAAATATTGGTTCAAGGAAAAAAAACAGCATTCCAGCGATGCACACAACCATATTCTTGGCATGAAGCTGCTGAGAGTGTGCTTCTCCCTCAGACATCTCTGTTAAGCAACAAACATCAACTGTAAAAGAGGCTGAAGCTTTCTAACACCTCCCCAGTCTGCAGCACAACTTTGATCTCTAATTAAAGGACAGTTCTGGGGTAAAGAAAACACATTTTACCACTTTTTCAAATGGCTCTACACTGCTGCAAGTCACTGCCTGCAAAAAGCCCAAAGCACTACAAACTGAAAACTAACGGTAATTGTTCTGAGTCTATCTGTAGATGGGAGGAAACCAGAAAGCACTACCTCAAGTTTCCTTCAAGATCATAAGCACAAGCACTAAAAGCACATAGTCATCTTCACTCTCCTCTTTTAAGTCTGAGGAGAAGAAAATCCCAAGCACTACTCAGAACTCATCAGAAGACCTACAGAAACTGCTCATGTTACACAAGTTTCCAGAAGAACATTGCAGAATATTCCCCTGGAATCTCAAATACACTGACTGACAGACTGAGCAGAAGAGGGAAAAGCAAATGAGGGTGATTGTGCATATTTAATAACAGTAGAAATCCTTACACTATTTATACATTTCTACTTTCCTGACATTTTCTGGACAGATACAGATTGACTAGTTTTTTCTTAAACATATTTAGTCACTCATTTAAAATTTGTATGCCTTTTTCTTTCTATGATGGGAGCTTGATGACAGTCTGCACACTGAGCCACAGAATAACTGCACCCAGGCAACCTGCAGAGAGCAAACCTGGTCCAGCCTTTACATTTTGGCTCCCTCTTCTGGAAAGAAGTAAAAAAACAAGCAGCACTACTAAAGGTGCCTTCCTCCTGTGAAACGCTGAATGCAACACTCCTTTTCAGATTCCATTTGTAAGATACAAATTTCTACACAGCTTTTAGGAGCGGCTGTTACTTTTTGCTTGATCAGATTGCTACAGTCGGACACCGCTGGCAGATGAGTACAATCAATCACATCAATTAATCTATTTATGATCTATCAACTGTGCTGTTAATGTACAAAATGCTATGCAAATACAGCAGTACCTGCAAGAGAAGGGCTCAGTTCAGTGGTATCCAGCATTTTCTAACACAAACATTAACCTGAGGCCTTAGGCCATCAGAATTAAATGCTAAACAACAAGAGACAAATCTAAATAACTTGCCACTAAATGTGAGCAGGAACCATAGTCAACTCAAAAGTTTAATTTCCCAGCAGTGTTATCTATTGAACAGCAAGTAAATTTTCTAGTTAGGTTAAAAAGAAGGCTTCAAGTATGGCAATAATAAATACAGTCACTATTAAAGGCAGCCTGTATCATCTGTAAAACTGTTGGCAATTGGAGAATATAAAATACTAGAGGACACATGAAGACAAATTTATAATTTTTATCTCAAAACTGGACTTCATCCACACATTATGCTGTTCTTCAGTTAGAATCAAATAGTTTACATCTTCTAGTTCACAGCTTGAAGTCAGTCTGCAGATGACAAACACTAATTTATTTTTGCTCACACAGAAACTATTGAAACAGCTCAAAACATCTATCTGTGTTATCTCTGTAACACTTGCTAGTCCTGTTTTTTCCCAAACAGACTTTGTATCTCAGAGCTTGACACATGGATTGATACAAAGGTATAATTTTAACTTCCTTGCTAGGAAAGAAACAACCCTCATGTTAGCAATTGTGTTTTTTCACCGCTGTCAACAGTTGCTGAAAGAGCCAGTTCAGGAGTCTGTGAGTTCTGTCTGCTCTTTGCAGTCACTTTGTAACTTTCAGTTCTGCAAATACAGTAAAGGCTGTTTTCTCCTGAATTTGAATCTTTACCTTCATGCCTTTGCATCTATCAAGTGATGCTGAATTTCAAGCAATATTGAGAATACCCTCTACAGCTCTTCTTAGCTCTGAAATACACAGGAATTTTCTACTCTCTGCCAGTTCTACTGTTTCATTCTCTATCCCCTTAAATTTTTTAGTTGTACGAAGTTCATGGACCCAAACTACTCACCACACAGCCTGCTCATACATTCCATTGTTTCCTCATATATTTACTCATTTAGTGAAAAAGAAAGGCCAGAGTCTTTGCTGTCCAGTGATGACCATGGCACTAGTGGCAACATGGCTCACACATTCAAAGCAGGAGCACAAAATAAAGCAGTATAAACAAACCAAGTTACTCTCACCTAAAATTAATAATCCACAGGAATAGATCTGTTTTTATCTATCCCATGAAAACTCAATTTCTTTAGGATTTCATAGTAACAAGTTCATCAATTGAACTTGATAATGAGATTATGTCTTTCTCTCCAAGTCCTTACAAAAGGACTTAATGTAAATAGTACAAAATAATATGTGAATGGTTTGAGAAGTTTTAATCAGTAAGATTAATTTACTTAAAGTACTACCTGCCTATTTGCTATGCTGCTCATAAAAGCCAAGTATATACAAAGCTAAGAAAAAAACCCTGAATTTCTGGTAATCAAACACTAAGGCTGCATCATTCCCTTAAACAGCTTAATATTTTTCTAAGAAAAATATTCTAAACCTGTAAAGAAGTCTTTGCATACTTGATATTGAGCTGCTTTTAATTCTTTTTTTTTCTTCCAGACTCCATCTGGTGGTCAGAACAAGAATCAGATGGGGCATGGTTTAAACAGTATTCCTTCGCTATGCCCTCAAATGCAGCTTTATGCTACTTGTTTCTGCAAAAGTAAGCCTGAAGCCCTGACTTCTGTGGTTAGAACACCTTCTGTGTTACCCCTTTTGTTTCAAAAATAGTCTCTCACAAGTATTTAGGAACAATAACATTTGAAAATAAATGCATAATATTTACAGATCAGACACTGCCTGAACATAACAGCTTTCCACCCCAGTTTTGGAACATCAACGTAAATTGTGCAGCAGACTACTAGAGATTATTTCAGAGACAAGCCCAGGCTAGAGATGGCAGTGTGGAAAAGATAAAGTCAAGTGAATTTCACAATAGTCAGTTCATGTAGATGTTTCCTAAGAAAGTAATGGTAAACTTCAAAACAAAATTAAAAGCATAACACAAGCTAGGTAAGAACATAAACAAAACAGGACTTCACAGCTACTCTTCCTGACAAGGCCTGTCCTCATTCCACTCAAATCTATACAAATACTAATGGACTACCAGAATTTCTACATACTTTGAGCCATGTACGTTCCTGCACTGTGGAGGGGATAAGTAAAGTGCTCAATCACACAACCTGCCCAGGTTTCTTTGTACAAGGAGTGGAAAAACAAGACAAACTTTCTGTGGCAATCCTCTCATGTCATCCTGAAGTCCCTCTTCCATGAAATGATGGAAGAATTATTATCGGTACCTTTCTGAGAATAGAACAGGTAAAATGGAATATGAGTATGCAAGACAATTTCCATAAGCTCAGCAGAGCCACTGATGAAATACAGAAGAATCAACATCGTATTCCAGCACTGGGGATTCAGGCTTGGCTCTGTAGACAAAACGTATGTCTGTCTATCCATTATGTCAACAAGCAATGCTATGCCAGACCACCGTTTCTTGTTTTTCTATATTTGTAATATAAAAAAAATCAAAATGCTTAGACAGAAGCCTTCTCTCACACCATGCCATTTTCAAGTGTCTCCAGGCATGTACTATTTCCAAGAAAGTCTGGAATACACTATCTTGAAAAGCCACAGTTAATCACATGGTTAACCTTCACCAGCAAGAAGCTATGAAAGGGTAGAGAACAATTTCAATGAAATCTTCCAAAAATTACTTTTATTTCTTGGGCACACAAAGATAACAATGCTTTACCAGGCAAGACTGTCTCCTGAAACTTTTGTAAATGGGTGATCATGATTTCCTAATACTTGAATTTTAATAGTGAAGATAACAGTCTTCTTTCTCTAGCAACAAGTGAAAGAATTGTCAACATAACTCTTTCATTTGCACTTCAGTAAGAACCATCATATTCCTATTTCTGATATTTGCACAAGTTTAGAAAGTCTCCCACCAGCTGAAAGGCACCTTGAAGAAAGAAAAAACATTTCTACATGAAAAGCAAGATATTATGACTGTTTCAGAGAGATAAGACAATAGAACAGAAACATCTTCAGGATGGCAACAGTGAAAGAAACTTTACATTTTAAGAAGCTTACCTTTGTTGAAAGCACTTTAAATGTACTTTGCTCTGGCACTATAGAATGAAGAAGATCAAGCTTTAAGTTGAAGTCTTCACCTGAGGGAAGTCTCACCAAAGCATTCATCTATTAAAAGTTGAAAACATATCTCTGGTCATCTTTAGCAGCAGCTCCATTTTCAAGTAAAGGACAGTCATTTCACACAGAGATTAAGTAATTAAATTAATATAATTTCAGACCATGGCATTATACTACTGCATTATTGGACAACATGTTTCTAAACACTAGAAAATGAACAGAAGATTTCAGTTCTTGCTACATGTACTCAAAACCCCTACTATCCTGTCAGCTGGATCTTAAGTCTTTAGGGAAGGAATTATACAACAAACAGAGCAAGTGCTCAGACTATTTCAACAACTTAAAGCAGATAATAACCAAGTACTTCTGGTATTTCATGAAATATCAAGTTAGCTGAGAATAAGAACCCAACTCTTCAATATTGTCAGCTAAATTAAACATGAAATTAACTGGTACAACATATGGTACCTCATTAAAGGGATTACTGTATTTCCTTAAAAATATATTTTACTGCCACAATTTTAGTGGTGCCAGAAGGAAGAAAAACACACCCACCAATATTCAGTCTATTTCTATAACTGTCCTAAAGCAAAATATTACTAATTCATACCTATTTTGAGAATACCTTGTTTCTGCCCAGTCCTGCTGCAGATGCATGTATAGTCTAATGTTTAAATCCAGATCAGTGCTTTCCCCATCCCTCCACACAGGCAGCTAAAACCCAGCATGCACACCTCATACTGCTTGTGTTTAAGTCCTATGGACGCTGCTGTGGCAACCAAGCCCAAATCAGCTAACTGAGCATACATGCACATGCAGCACAACTGTACAGAAGAGAAGCTCAGGCAGAACAGCTCCCAGACTGTTCTTTTCGTGGTACTGCAGCATATAATGTTCACTGGCCCGAGTACTGCATCTCAGGGAATTTAGGGATGAGTATCAATAACCAAAGCAAATCACCTTTCTCTCCAAGAACTGCACACTGACATCATCCTTCTGTGCATTCTTGATCATTATGGTCACTATTACTTGAGATTCTGTTTGGTACCAGTCATATCTTTAAAAAAGAAAAAAAAAGGAACAATTTATTTTTCAGATCACATTGAATATAAAATTAGATCACTTTCCTAAACCATTCACTTAATTCAGAATCTTCAATATATCTCAAAAGCATTACCTATACCAGGCACAACGGAAGAGGCTTTGAATTAAGCTCAGCACGAGAATGAGAAAATAGAAGCTGGAATGCTGATCCTATTCCCCTCTCTCCTAGTTAGGTTTAACCTCCTGAGAATACCATTCAGACTAAACAAAAATGATGGCACCGAGAAACACTTCACTTGGACTGCCACATTTCTGAAATTACTGCAAAAAAACCTCCTACAGTCATTATCCTGCTTCTCCAATTCCCAAGCCAAAGTGTAGATATGCCAATTACTTTAAATTTCACAGTAAAGCTAAAGTCAACTTACTTGATCTTTGGTGGCAGAGGCTGCTGCTGCGTGTTCTAGTTGAAGCACATTCCATTGGAAAGAAAGTTACATCAATGTAAGTGAAAATATACCATGAAGTACTTTTCAAGGCACAAATCATCTTCACCAATTGCTCCCCTTTTCTTGATTCCAGCTGCTCCCCTTCCTTGATTTATGTGTGAACATTAACTTACAGGTGAAACTCTTCACTGTTTACTCATTTATGGCAGATTACACATTTAAAATTTTCAATTTACATTAAATGTGTTAATCTGTAACTTGAATGTATTTTATAAATAGCAATTAAGTTCAACTTAAACTAATTTCTTCCTGGATAAGAGGTATACCTGGAAAACATCCAGTGACTATGCTGCTGATCTATAAACCACGAAGGAAACCTGAAATAGGTCTGAAAACTCAAGGTTCAACTTTTGAACATAAAAGAGGGAGCAGAATATCCAATGCAAAGCCCTCCATCCCCCCCCATTTTTTTTTTTGCCCAAAGAAGAAAAAAACAGAAGGAGAAGTCAATTTCAAGATTTCTTATGAAGACTTCCAATTTAAAAAAAAAAAAAAAGGAAACAGAGTTGAGCAGATTATAACAGAAAAAATGTCTAGACAAACCACTTGCAATCTTCTGGGGAAAATGAAAAAAAGTTACTTCCTAACAGTTCCAATCAAATTAGTAGTGACAACACAACTAACCACAACTGGTTAATTTGTAAATTAGGCTGCAGACTGCGAGACAGAAAGTTAAATTTTACCTCAATGAATGCACAGTAATTGCCAGATTTGTTAAGCATTCCTAAAAGTTTTCAGGATTCAAATTTTGTAGCCTTGGTCTCCAAAGCACTCATGTTCAGAAGAAAAGTTAAATACTGCATGCAATATGAAAGATTCTTTTTAAAGCTTGGAAGTGAAGCCACTGAAGCAGAAAATATATAATAGCATAACAAAAAAGTCAGAATAGTAAACACATTAAGGAAAACATCTTACCAAATCAGTCTGTGATGCTGGGGGGGAAAAAAAAAAATTGCATTTTCAGAAAAAAGACACATTGAACTTAAAAGGCACAATTTTACCCTAGCTTGCTTCAGTTACTCCAGACATCCTGCATTCACTCCAGTCTCAACAGCAGAGGAGGTAGAAACACGTCAGTTCTACCTCTGTTATTTTGCTATCCCAACCCTCTACATTTTAATCAGATTTCAACCAGCAACTTCTGCAAACCAACAACTCTGATGTAAAGCACGTTCTGATTTACTGAATCAACAATCTTTCCATTACATTCTCTTGCTTACCTGAAATGGATACAAGACTTTTTTAATGAAATTAACATCACAGGAAACAAAAGTTGAAAAAAATCACTTTCTGGGAGTCTGCACTAGGTTTATCATCCATCCATCCCCAGGAATAGCATAAAGCTCTCATCACATTTTTATCTCATGCTAGAGAAACCCCACTGGGGAATGAGATGGAAATTTGGCAGAGAAATTCACTCACATGACACTAAATATACTGTAGTACTTGCATCTAAGCTATAGCTCAGTATCCCCTCTAAGTATTTTTTAATAAAGTATTTCAGATCAAATATGTTTGGAAAGAAACAAACTTTCCCTTTGTTTCTTTATAATACACACTAACAAAAAGAAAAAAATATTAAGCTGAAGAAATCAGAGTTATTGCCTTTATTGGTTTGTTTGTTTTGCCAGTGTATCAGAAAATTAAGAAAATGGTTCAAGAAAGACAAGACAATGAATATACAAGATAAAACAAAACACTGCAAAATATAAATACGACATTAAATAAAAATATGTATTATAACCTCTTTCAGAAGAAACTGTTGCCCAAAGTAACTCTTTGCAAAAAAGACCATGCATGCCAATCACTTACCTAATTCCTCCAAATAGAATTAAACCAAGCAAAAAATGTCTCACAAAGCAGAAGTCTTTTCATCACTATACAACACAAAAGGGTTCTCCTCTATATGGTTTTTAGTCAATACATTGACACAAACTTGTTCTACTGTCCCATTCTCCAGTGTGCAGCAGAGAGGAGGGAAAGTCACAACAGGCGGAGGAAAAAAACTATGAGTTATTCTGCTCTGTTCTCCTTCATCAAAATTCCCAGGCAGCCTAAACTCTCTGGATGAGTTAATTGTCAGGGTTGGCTGTCTGTAGGAAGGTATGAAAGGAAACTGTGCTTACACTCACTCCCATGACTACCATGGGTAGGTCACCAGAACAGCCATTAGCACCTGTGGTACTTTCCACATGGAATCAAGGAACAGAATCTCCAAATTTCTACCTCTTTCCAACTTTATCTTCTGCAAGACTTGAAAACTTATTTTGATGTAGGCTTTAGATAGCAAGCTGACACACACTTCTACAGTTAAAATTAGTTCACAGTTGTGTATGAAAGTAAGTTAAAATTAATTATGATTGTCTGATCCTTAAATAGGTACTCTCCTGGCACAGCTAATTATTACACTAAAATCCCAATATAAATCTTCCTATAAATCTGAATGAAGCATATAGTGGTAAGGGTGTTTACTGCAAGAGAAACAAGTCATAGAAAAATATGACTTCTAAAAAAGATTTTTCTTTTAGAACTAAGTATTTTGTTCTAAATAAGAGGAAAACAGTACATCTTTGAAAAACGTAACACAGCTTCCAAGCACAGAGCATATCAAATCCCTCACTAAGTAAACACGTCTTTTCTTACCATTTAGTGTTTCTTCACATCTTTTAATCCAAATAGTAAAGGTATCATCTACATCTAGAAGAGATCAAACACAGTAATATTAAAACTCTTTCAAGCATTACATGCATTGCATGAAGAAAAAGTCCTCTCAGTTGCCAACTGGAACAAATCCATCCCAAACTTGTATCAATTTACTAAAAAAGGTGTTATTTCCTATAACATTCTTGTAAACTCTGTCATCTCACTTAGGCTTTAAGTATTTTTGTACAACTCCACTATGTGCTATATTTCATTAAATTCTAATTAATCTGTAGGAGACTAGATTTTGTCTGACAGAAATCTGCTATTCCTTTCCAGTCTGTTCAACTCCTATGTAGCTGTTTAGAAAGCAAGAAGTACAGTTTTAGACATTTTACCATTTTTCTTTAAATTACTTTTTCAAACAGTCACACGCTTCCTCTCCAGAGACGATGGTCTGTTGTGTGGACAACCCCAAGTTGTGCAGCTTTTGACAAACATCAAGTATTCTCTCCCAGAAGCAAGCCTCCCAGATAGAAATGAACCCACTGGAAAATAGCTAAAAAGGTGATAGTGTAACAACAGAGCAACCACCTTATTTCAACAATATTCCCAAAAAATCCTTCACTGTGAAGAAAGTAAAAAAGTAGCAACAATACTAGCCGACTACTATGAATAGCTGAAGTTTCTCGTTTTACAAGTGAATTCACATTGTTAACTATGAGGCAAAGGACATGAAGAAGCTCAACACAAGTTCCCAGCAGACACGCACAACACTCCCCTGCAGCTATACAATGTACCTCAACCCTCAAAAATATAAAATGTACATCAATTCTGAGGCACACCTTAGATAATAAAATTGCTACCCCACTCCCCCAGCCATTTCATCTCCACTTTTCTTCTGCCACCTGACCTGACAACTTAAGAGTTATTTAAATTTTTTACCAAAAGAATGGGCAATCCCTGAAGCAGGCTGCCCAAAGAGACTGTGGAATCTTCAGTCTTGGAGATACTTAGAAAACAATAGTAAAAAGCCCCAAGAAAACACATGCAAGTTCAAAATTAGTATTTACTTTGGTCAGAGCACATAATTATATGAATTCCAGAGCATCCCTGAAACCTAAATTAATCAATACTTTCAAAATTTCAAACTGCAACCTAAAAAGACTTCCAAGCTCTGCAGTTTAAGCAAAACCTCCACTGATCCAGCCTCCCTCATCAGCAGGTGAGGAATTCTCTCTTTAACCATGGCCTATGACTAGATTGCTATGCAGTACAAACCTAAAAAGAAGAGTCCAGAGTTAGCGTCTCTATTTTTATAGAAGATCACACCCTTTCCCTGCATCCTGGTACATTTTATAATTTGAGGCAAATTAATTTTGTTCTCTAAAATTGTATTATCCTCCCAAATAACTTATTTATAATAGAAACTGTAGTTCAGAAAACCTTCCTGGGTCTTCACTGACCAAAATCTACTAACTCTTAGAATACAAGTTTCTTTAAAAACTTGCCACATTCCAGCTTTACTAAATTAATTCAGTGGTCACAACAAAAAAAAAAACAAAAAAATTTGAGAATAATTGTCCTAAATCCACATAGCATACTGAAGAGTACCAGATTACATTCGTACTTCAGCTAAGGCAACAGGAACTGCAAAAATCTCCATGCATCACATGGTTAAATGAAAGGAGTATTGCTTTCTAATGTTATTTCATAAAAAAAAAAAGAATCATTGCACATTCCATAGCTCATCACAGTAAATCCTACTTTGATATCCTCGTAGGTGGGTAATGGGAAGGTTGCTGTGGTACCCTGGGCCTGTCAGTCCTACCAGCGATGACACAAGTAGGAAGCTCATCTGTGCCAGCATTCCAGATTGAGCTTTAAAACAGCCCTTACATTCGCAAAGAACAGAAATTTGTATTCATGTACTTCTGCCCACTCGTGTGGCACAGAAACCAGCTTTGCCAGCAAAGAATTCCCCACCACAGCAGTTCTTCCCAAGGCAGCAGCAGCCGAAGTCTCTCTTCATCACCTGCTTTGCCTATGTTGCAAATTTTCTCACTGTGCTTTGTTCATTTTACATTAGCTGCATTTAACTGGAAGTTAATTGTGTTGCAAAAATGCCTATGCTCACAATTTTTTCACCTGGGATCCAGGAAACATTCCACAAGAGTAAACTCTGTTACTGACACAAATGTGCCAGCAAATTAGGTAATATATGAAAGAGAATGAACTAAGTCTGTAATTTAAAAAAAAGCCTCCAAGAGACTCCTCATCTCACAGCAGGCTATAGAATTTTGCAATGAGAGAGAGGAAGCACAACAGAAAGTATCTCCAGATAAGAGAGTAATCAGGAAGTGCTAGGAAGCTTCAGAAACTCTTCAACTAAATAAACAGCAAAACAACAGTAAATTAAATTCAAACAGGTAGAAATGAAGCACCTCAACACAGGAAAATGTGCAGTATTTCAGGGATTCTGAGTGAGAAAATTCTGAATTAGTCTGGTATTCACTGGCTTATCTAAAATGTTATCTGCAGCTCTGTGTTGTACTCTACGACATCAATACAATGTCAGGTTATCCATGCACATGAAAAACCTCAAATTGATATTGGCTGCCTGGGGTGGGACTAGAGTATGAAAAATACAGATTAGACATTCAATTAAATTCAGCAGTGATGAGCTTGGAGTACAGAAGTTACCTACCAAGTAAGGAAAGCAACACAGGTCAGCGGAAGGAATCTCTTCCTTTGATGGAAAGTTACAAAACAGAGACCAGAATGAAAAGACAAACCTGTCTCTCTACTTTGAAATTAATGGAGACCACCTAGTTATCCAAATTACCAATACAGAAAGAGCAGCATGAAACTTCTTATTTTCAACTCCTGTTCAAGGGCAGCCTAAACTGACAGCTGTGAGTTGTCGCAACTTCACCACATCTCCCTTCTACCACTGGCCCAACACTGCTCTGCCACTTCACTTTTGATGGCTTCAGCACTTAGACCCTCTGTTGGGCCATTTCAACCTATTCATCCAGAAAGAAAGACTTTAAAAAGAGTAGGTTTCTGCAGACTTAATGCACTGAAAGAAGAGGCTAAACAAGCACAAGAGTAATAAGGAGCATGATCACTTAGAATTAAGCATAAGTTTACACTTCCATGAAACTCCACTTTTAAATTAGAGGATTAGATAATTTATTTGGGAGATGCAAAGTAAGTATATTTTTGCTAAGCCTACATGTCCCAGCCACTACTATTACAGATAAGACAACAAACTGAACAGGTCTGAGACCATGACAATTCTTTTCAGATTAGCACACTTTGCTCTGCATAACCTTTCAAGGAGCTTTTTTTAACCATCTTTTCTTACTGTTTGGAAGAGAAAGGGGTCACAACCATCTTGCAATGGTTTTGTTTTGTGCTTCCCCATGTGTTCTACCAAAGCTTTCTGTTTTAAACTACTCCTTTCCTGCTTATTGAATAAAGTCAGGTTTTAAAAAAGTTCTAGTGTTCCCAAAATAAAAAGTACCCAAGTCCAGCCAGAAAGCAAATACACTGTAAGACAAAAAGACAGATATAATAAATATGCTTCTGCAATTAATGGTATGTAATGTAAGGTAAACTTGACAGGTAAACAAGTAAACTGTAAGTTATGTAATGTGAGGTAACTTTGTCAGTTTGAATACCCACCAAGTTGCACATTCTCTCTAAACAGTGCTCAAAATGTTTAAGAAGAAATTCCAACTACATGTAAAGAGCCTATTCTACTGAAAAATTCTTCTATGACACTTAACACTACAATATTGCTACTATTTATCTTCAAGACCCCCAGGAAGCAGGAAAACATTTATCAAGAAAATCAGCTACTAATTGCTAAGAACTTTGATACACATTTTTAAACAGTTTAACACTTTCATGCAGTGATTGCTGAAAGGTTCTCAAAAGTCAGACAGCTGATGTTAGGGACCCAATACATTAGCCTTTAAAAAAAAACTTTGGTCTCCATTTTAATCTAACACATTACTCATTATTTTAACATAAGGAATAACACGCAAGAAACTTTAATACTTACTGTCCAGCCTCTGTCCCTCTCTGAAAGACTCTAAAGCAGATGCATAGTTTTTGATATGATATTCACCTAACCTGACACAAATAAAGAAAAATACAAGAAAACAGTAATTACTTTTCAGTGTAGTCCACATTCCATAGACAACACACTGTACTGGTTAAAATTATGTGTAAGAATTTAAATTACCCAAAAGGTGTGTTTTTGAAATGGCAAGGGCATTAGGATAATCACCCCAAACTAAATGGCTATATTACAAATGGGTTGCAAGCATCATGGCTTTAAATTTATTCATTCTCAATGTTGTAAAGTTTGCACAGAACCATAATCCAAACCCTAGTATTGACCTAGAGATTAGCACAATATTCCCAAAGTACCATAAATAATACATACCCTTTCCTAAGGAGCGCTACAGCATTATTTGGGTTGAGTTCTAGAGACTTTTTTGCATCTGCAACTGCATCTGTTGAAAATCAGTTTAAAGTTGAGAAACATAATGTTACAAACAGCAGTGAACTGTCAAGTCTTTAAGCAGTGAAATTTTTCTAGGATGAACTATGTTATCTTTCTTAACTTGCACTCAAATCACACTGCCTGAATTAAGTCTAGCCACAAGTAAATCCCTCACAGAGCTGCAGAGCTCTTATGTAAGATACGGCATGACTTCCATTCAGCAAAACACTCTGCTTAGATCTGAAGTGTGATTCTCTTTGTTTGATTTTTACCAGAAAGAAAAAATAAACCAGATCTTATTCAGTCTTTTTCCCAGACATTATTCACTTATCACATTCCTACCATGACAAGATTCAGTCTCTACCAAGAACACAACGATGGAAGACATGATGCAAAAAATCTCAAAATCTGCCTAAGAAGTCTACTTATAAAAAGCTGCCAAGATAATACTAGACTGGAATCAAACAGAAAGCTGGGACTCTAGGAAACATTTCACTGAAAGTTTTGCTGTAACAAAACAGTCTAAAAATGACAAGATTATGTACAACCACCAAAACCAGCATATTAATAAAAAACACACTCTCTCGTTACTGTATTTGGCTTCAGATTGAAGACATCTCCTGTAAAACATGTGTTATGATACACTTGTAAAAGGACTCTTAGACTGAAGATGTTACCAGCATATTTCTGTAGAAGAATATGAGCATAAGCTCGTTGACAGTAACATTCAGCATCATCTGGATTCTTTTCCAAAGCTGTTGTCAGTTCCTGTAAACACACATTAAAAAAATGAAATAGTACTTCAGAAATCCTCATAAAAACACAGCATCAAACTGTCAACTAAGAGACATTTCAGGAGATAAAACCCTAACTGGCATTTCTGTTTACCTGTTGCTTAGCTCCCTAGCACAAAGCTAAACATCAGAGCCTGAAGTACAAGGAACCTGCCAATTACACCAAATTCAAGAGACTGATTCTTACTGTGAAGGAAATGGGATTCCAAATAATCTAAACATGAAGTTTAACACAGATGATCCTCTCTGTTCCAAAAACCTTCCTACAATTCTCAGCATACTTGTACACAGGTCTGCTGGTTTTGAGAGAGCAGTGCAGTATTAGCAATTTGGAAGTCAATGCACAGTGTGTCAGAACAGCTGTGTGGAGATAAGATGCTATGAAATACCAAGTAACACATACTACAGTGCATATGAGCTTGTTTCAATTTATGCTGAGCATTAAAGCAGAAGAACAAAAGGTTTATGGAGCACAGGGTTCAGAGGAGGTATTATTGAACAATGAAAATAAGCATAAAGTAGTCCTTTGTAAAGAGAATCACAGGATATATGGATTGAAATAACAACACATTGCTCTCTCTGAGAAAAGTTCATGGGTTTGGCCATAGAGTAAAACCACAGCAACTTGAAGCACACAGCTGAAAAGAGCATTTCCAATTCTCTGCTTACTGGTGAGAGTTCTTCCCTTTGCTAGAAACCAGTCTTCCAAAAGCAACTACATTACACTGCTACAGTACAGTAATTCTGTTTGCTAAGCTGACTTCTACTCAAGACTTCTACCTGGAATCTAGTAAGCATGAACATAGCTAAGATACAAGCTTTAAACCTGCATAAATATTTGTACAGCACAGCTGCCAAAACTCTATCCCACCAAGACAGGGAAAAAAGAAGGGAAGTAGGACTTGCCTTAGCTCTAATTCAGACCAGTGTCTTTTTCTAGGAAATGTCACATAAAGTGTTTATGCCACCAAGGACTTATGTGGCCAGAACAGCTTCTAGCAGTGGCACAAGTTCTAACTGTGTAACATACACACACCTCTATAGAGGTACAGCACATAAATCTAGATCCTTGGGGGGTCTCTGAGAAAGGGGCAGGCAGTAGGCAGCAGTAACTTGATCCACTTTTACTGATGCCTTCCTGAGATTTAAAGTCATTCAAAAGCAGCTGTCATTATGGAAATACTCATGGCTACAGGTATTCCACATGGCAGGGATGTGAGGCAATGCACATATTAAAATTGGTTCATATTATGCTGAGAGGTGAAGCACCAAGCAGGGCCTGACTCTGATACTGAACATCACAGGCATATTCAGGTGCAGAGGCAACTGCTTTGACAGATCACCTCTCCCCCCCAAACATTATTTCCTGCGATTTATGCTGATGACGGATGCACTGATTAGAGTCAGCAACACATAAATGGATCTTCCTACAAAACTAACCCTCACCCCAGGAAAGTAAAGCAATGCCAAGCATTTTCAACAGTGTAAAACTTCTCTCTTTGTGTGCTTTTTATCAGTAGGTTACCATATCTCATCCAGACACACAGAGAAAGTAACTCCTGTAAGCTATTTGAGAAGCCAAGTCATACTGGACTAGCACTGGGAACTCCAGACTATGGACATCAGCAACAGTTACTCAGAACAAGCTTAGACTTTGTCCTCACACTCAAGTATGTGCTTTCTGCATATTTTGACTCTAAAGGCCCTTACCATGTGACCAAATTGCAGATCTGTTTCTAAACACACTGAAAAATTTGGTAAAGAGTTTGCCTGAATTAAAGGCACCTTCTGTCTCCACGTACTAGCTTACATTTTCAGTTTAAAATAAGAAGTCATACATGATTTCACATCTTTATCATTCAGAAAGTATTAGAAGATAGATGATGATCTTTCAATTGCATCAGATCCAAGTACAGAAAGCCAAAGCACAAAGCACAACCTCCAGGAATTAAAGCAATCAAGAAGAATCCCAAGGACACAGTGCAGAAATGCTAGGCCAACTGGACAGAAGCCCAGCCAGGTATGAAAGAAATTACATAGCACCATGTCTACACAATCATCCCCCAGATTAGAAATATTAAGCACATGAACATAAAGATCACACATAAGACCATGCAGAACAGTGTAGCACCTGGAAATTTTCTAAGTCAGGAAAATGCTGCTCTGAGCTGTGGCATTTACCAGTTCAGAGACCACCAAGCACAATCTGCCTACTCAATCCAGGGATTTGAAAACAAGGCCTAACAACTGACACGAGTATTACTGTGTCAGGTATTAAATAATGCCTATAGAATGGGTTACATAATGTTCTGAAGCACTGAATGCACAAAGAACTGAAATAGAAGCTAGAAAAGCAAAACAACTATGTTAATCCAGGAAAAAATACAAAACCACATTGTAACAGTATTCCTTAATACTTCTGAAGACCTGGTGTCAGGGATTTTTAGTTTGTTCCCTCATGTTTTGTTTTGTTTTTTTTTTTTTAAACTACAAAATGTGAAATTCACACCATTTTTTAGATCTTTAATTATTTTTGTTGTGCCATATAGATTTGGCTATTCCAAATTGGTTTTTAAATGTCATTTATCTTTTGAAAAACTTCTACAAGTTACAGCCTAAACCCTAAAATAGTGAAAAATTTAGCTTCACCATTTTCTTTGTGGAAAGATAATTAAGTATCATTTAATGGTTCTACCACCCACTCTCTTCAAGCAGTACTAACAATTTACATCCTCTCCCCTCCCAAGTAGTTAAATAGAAATACTTAGCCACCCTCCAGCTCTGTCTTCTCATCAACCATCTAAGTAAAAATTATCTTCGAAAACACATTAAAACATACTAAGTGATGAAGACATAGAACAGGCCAGGTTGGAAGGGACCTCAAAGGATCATCTCATCTAACCTTTCATGGGAAAGCCTGCCTAGATTAGAGTATCTAGCAACCCGCCTATTCGAGTCTTGAAAACCTCCAGTGATGGGGACTCTACCACGTCCGTGGGGAGGGTGTTTCAGTGAGAGATCGTTCCCACTACATAAAAATTATTTTCTATGCAGATGAATGGAAGATCAGTCGTGATGCCCACAAAATGTAGGGAGTGGAATAAAGTAGACCAGGGCAAAATAAAAACTAAGATGAAAAACTTCTCTTCAATAAACTTGGGGTTTTATACCCACAAATCTTAACGGATGTAGTTGTGTGAGCTATCATCTACCTACACGGAAGAGAAAGTTGGTTTGTTTTGCTTTCCCCCCCCAACCCCTTCTTTGCCACACAGGCAACACGAGCACTGTGGCAGGTCTGCGCCGGGCTCCCCTGCAGCCCGACCTCACCTGAGCCGGGTTCCCGAGGGACCCCCGAGGGACCCCGCCCGGCCCGGCCCGGCCCTCACCTGCGCCGCCACCCCCGGGTCCCGGTCGACGTCCGCGTCCGAGAACCTGCCAAGGAAACACAGCGCCGTCAGCGGGCGGGCGGGCGGCGGGGCCGCGGGGGAGGCAGGGCGGAGGAGGGCGCTCACCGCGGCGGGGCCGCTGCCGCCGCCTCCTCCATGCCGCCCGTCGCCCCCCGAAACTTCTGGAGCCGCCCCGGGCCCGCGCCGCTCGCACCGCGCCAGGCCGCGCGCGCGGGCTGCCGGGAGGCGCGGGAGCGGCCGCGCGCGCCCCGCCCCGCCCGCCGCGCAGCGCCCCCTGCCTGCCGCCGGGGAGACGGCGCCTCGGGCTCCGAGCTGCCGAGGATTTGTATCGAAGCCTGCAATTTTTTTTCCGGTTGTTAACCGGTAGCTGTAGCAGGGATGGTTGAGTAGTTGCGCAGTTGCGTTGTGAGCATCGTAGGCGTGGCTGATGGGCGGTGTTAAAGGAAAAGGGAGCACAATCACCAGAGGAGCTGGCTGTCAGCAGGCTGGGCAGAGCTGCGGAAAGGTCACTGCGGCAGTGGGACGTGGGGACCCCCCGACACCTCCTAAAGCAGGGCAGAGGGAGGGAAGAACTGCAAGAGAGCGCAGAGTCCGTTTGGCTGGAAATGATCATCGAGTCCCGCCGCTGACTGAACACCACCGTGACAGCCAGGCCAAGTCCAGTATTTCCTTAAACACCTCCAGGGATGGTGACTCCACCTCCTCCTCCCTGGGCAGCCCATTCCAGTATCTACTTGCCCTCATTCTTCCTAATATCCAACCTAAACCTCCACTGGTGCAGTTTATAATACCTCTAGCAAGAGAGGTTAGAGTATTAATTAACAAAAAAGTTATAAAATCTGTAACCAGTGGAGGCCTTTGTTTGTTAAAATTTATAACCAGTGTGAAGTTTTAGTAATCAGAGGACCAGCCTTTTGTGGGTTATGACCTAGCTCCCTACTTTGTGCAAATCAGAATAAAAACTAGAAATACCTCTCAGTGTGTCAGCTGGTGCTGTGCACCAGGCACCCAGCCCATGTTCAGGACAACAGGGTGGTGGACAGGACTTCACAAAGACAGCCTGTGGCCTCCATCCTCCTCCACCTCCTCCAGATGGCATTTCCTTCTGTGTGCCTCAAAAATAAACTAGTGCCTTTTTTCCCTCTGTGGCTTCACACATGTGTGGACAAGAACCAAGGCTTCAATTTTTATTTTCTGACTCAGAGGTGGCTGGGACTTAAGCTGTCATGTTTTGTTTGGCTGCTGCCACAGGCACAAAGGCAGCTGTGACGGGAGGGGTTGCTCAAACTCCCAATGTGAGCTCTCATTTTATTATTTGCTCCAGCTTCTCCCTTCCTTTGCCATATCAACGAGAGTTCAAAGCACAGATCCACCCGGCTGGCACACCAGAGCCCAAGGGATATGGGGAGGGAGTGATTTCCATTTACTGTGTGTTACACAACAGTCCGCTGCTGGAGACACATTATTGCTGCTGGAGATTTCCACCACTTCTCCAACTGACAAAAACTAAACTGACAAATCATTTTCCATGTGTAATAGCTGCATCTATGGCATGAAGTTTTGTTGGTGAAGCTGTAATCTTATGGTGCAAATTTCTTTCCCCCCACATTTCCAGTAAACACCAAAGCAATGTCCCTGTATCTAAAACCACTTATGTCAGTCAAGCATTACCACTTCAGATTTTCTAGAATTATGAAAGGAAAACATCCCTATGTTGTAGTTTGATTTAAAAAATTAGCCTCCCTCTCCAGTGCTTCTGTCAATCTAACACAGCCCTCGGAGTGAGGACTGTTACCAGATATGCTTCCACAAAGCTTATCCACATTCCTGAAAATATTGCCAGCACTCCCTAGCTGCAGGGAGTGCTGTCAGATAAACAACCACTGGTGTGGGTATGACCAGCCTTCCTGTAAATTGGGTGAGGCACTGGGTTTGCAGGTGGAAACCTGGCTGTAAAGAGTCAGAGAGAAGCACTGAACTAACAGGGCAGCTGTGGCAGAGAATTGCTTGTTCAATAGTTTCTAGAGTTCCTTCTGTCAAGCAGCAAGACCATACTCTCTCTGCCACTCTTCTACTCCTATTAGTTTTTCTAGTATTAGTGCTCCAAGTCATATTTAACCTTAACAACCAATCAATAAAACTCCAACATTAATTCAATCATAGAAAGTCATATTCCCTTTCATTTTATACTGACAGAATCATAATACCAGGCACAATATTTATTATTAACTTGCCCTCTACTTAAACACTGCAACATGCAAGTTTTTGAAGCCCTAATAGTTTGGGCTGTCAGTTGTATCATACAAGTTACAACCACCTTTGTGAATTACACTCAGAATTTCGTGTTGTTTCTTTGTCACATACTGGGAAGTGATGGAAAAGAAGTTTAAGTCCAGTTCCTGGATTTATCACAACCTTCAGTTCAGTTACAAAAATATACATTACTGCTGTTTCAAAGGATACTGACAGCACACTGACTGACTGCGTTAAAGTCTGTTCAGAAGTGATTTGTGAATTGCTCATGTTCCACCATAGACCCACACTGACTAATCACCCTGTACTGTTTCTCACTGTATTTTACTTATTCATGGTGATCGTCAAAACTTTATAATAATAAAAAACATTTTGGAGTAAATACAGGAAAATGTTTTTTCCATTTGATTTATTTTCATAATAAACCAATTAAAAATACAAAAGAAGGACCCAAGGTTCCATGGGCTCCATCATTTAAAAATTTGTCTTTAAATACAAAGTCACTCAGTAATATGAATACATATAACATTAGACCTCTAAACATAACAATCTTATTGATCTTATTTGCATCTATCAAAAGTTTGTATGGAAAAAATTAGCTGAAAAAACTTCCCTGCAACATTGAATATACAGTATTTACAATCAAAACCAAGAACACTTAGCAGTATTAATCTCCAAAAACCTGCATAAATTGTATATATTTAATTTCCCTCCCCCCTTACAAAATAATCTGAAGTAGAAAGCAAGATTGTTAAGCTTCATAGTCGCAAAATGGCATAAAACATTTGCACCTGTAGTGATGCCGTTAGCTTCTGTAATTAAATATATCTGATGTTTCCATATAAAATATAGACATGGCATTGTCCATTTCTGGAATACTTGTTTTGAATACTCTCAGTAGGAGTGTATATTCAATTTTGCACACACAAGAACTTGTGCTGCAAAACATCCAAGAGGATACCTGGTTATCAAAGTCTAAAACTGATGTCATTCACTGATATGAAACAGGTACTCAATCACAAATATTCAGACACATGGAATGAAACTGTCTTACTAAAACTAACTGCTGCTTCCAAAGGTGATACACATACAGATTAAACAGAAAAGGTTACAATAACATTACTGTAATGTAAATCAGCAACAGACTGACACCAAAATAAGAGAAGTTTGAAACTTTGGCCAACAACCTCAGGAGAAAGTCTTCATAGAATAAAAAGCATGTTCCTTCATGCCTGTACTTTGAAAAATGAGTAATATATAATTTTATTTATATGATAACATTTAGCAATTAACAGAAAATCAAAATCCATTTTAAAGCATGAATTCTAAGAATTAACTGCAGAATTTTAGTAGCTTTGCAACAATCATGCTTCAGAATCAAATAATATATACATAACTGAAAAGGTCCCATCACATTTATGAAAATAATCATCCACAGGAGTTTTTTTAAAATTATTTAATTATCAATACAAATTGGGTTCCAATGGCTCATTTTCTTGCTTCACTTGCATGTTAGATGGGAAATTATTCGAACTGGACACTACCATCACAAATGGTTGCTGCTGGAATCTCTGCTCTGACTGCTCATTATCTTCTGCTTTGTCACTCTCCTCCTTTTCCTCTTCTTGTAGGTCAACCTGCTTCATGTCCGGTGCTTTAATGACCGAAGTGATCACCGTGCCTGATGGCTGAGACACCACCTGTGAGCTGCTGGGCGAGAACGTCACCACAGGGGTGGTGGCACTGAAGGATGGAGATGAAGCCATGTTGACTGTTCCATTGCAAATTGTCTGCACGCTGCTGGTGAGCACCTGCTGAACTTGTGCTGGACTCAGCACAATCGAGGAAGGAGGTGAGACTGGCTTCTGAGACTGTAGCATGATGTTTTCTTTAAGAACCGTCATGGGCTGGGAAGTAGGAATGGCTTGTAAAATGAATTTCTGTGCTGTTGTTACTGAGGCTGGATCTGTACTGGCTATCACTGTAGTAAGAGGCACTGTCTGGAGTGTTACAGCATGCAGCTGCTGATTTCCAGGAGAAACAACCACTGGAACCTGTGTTGGAGTCTGCAAAGTCCTGCTAAGATTAGAGAAGATTACTGTGTCAGAACACTTCCATGCTGAATTAAAAAAAAATAATTATAGATTTACTACAGAAAAAACATTTGTCATCATAAACACTTCATTTCCCCAACATTTATGAAAGAGGTAGTAGAATCTCTCTTAATAAAACAAGAACTGGACCTGACCCCTGGATTTAGCAAGATGATTCCCAAAGTAAAGGTACCCCACATGAACAATACTGCCATTGCCAAGCTGAACAGCCTGCCTTTGAGACATTCAGTGGTTCATCAGGACACCTGGAATCACATCAACGACCCCTACCTCAAGCATTGACCAACATCAAAAGCACAACCTACTAAAGATCAGTCATCAGTTTCAAAAATTACACCAAGTAATTAATAAATCACAAGCCTAAATAATTTGTAGGTCAGGCCTTAATTGTCCTGACATCCACATATACATTTAACTGTATTCAAAAGTATCCACGTGGTAGCGTGTCTGGCACAGTCCCAGGACACAGAGTTCTCTGTCTGCCAGGCTCATACACACCTTCTGGTAAAACAACTGATCAGAACCTGCTTCCAAAACATCATTTAAGTTAGGAGTAATTCCATCAGTTGCAGGCTATGAGACTTGGGTACCACATGACTGTCAATAGATGTAGAGCTGTGGGGACAACATAAGGGGATTAAGAGATGTATCACTGGAGTACACAACTACTGCAGTGCACAGTGGTGACTTAAACATGGCAGTCACACAAATTAAAACAAAATAAAAACCCCAGAAAACAAATGGTTACGGGGAGGGAGAGAAGAAGGGAAGGGAAGGGTAACTGCTTTAAGACCCTGCCACAGCTTGTTTCATGCCATTGTGCCACACTGTCTCTGGCAA